CCTCCACGGGCCTTGCTCTGTGTGTGACGGGGTAGAGCCATAACCTCCCCATTGGCCCTGCCCTGAGTGTGACAGGGTGCAGCGCAGCAACCCCCTGATCCGCCCTGCTCTGTGTGTGATGGGGGTGGTGCCCCAGCTCCCCTATCGGCCCTACTCTGTGAGTGACGGGGAGCTCCCTCCTGTTCGCTTCAAGCTGCCTGGCTGCCTGCCGCCATCTTGGTTGGCAGTTAATTTGCATATCGCCTCGATTAGCCAATGGGAAGGTTAGCGGAGGTACGGCTAATTACCATGTTTCTCTATTATTAGATAGGATATATATATATAGTATAAAGCTAAAAGTGGAAATCGTGGCATGGTCTCACAGACACTGTAATATCTATTTGATTATGTTGACATAAATGTTATATTTGCATAACTTATAAGACTTATTCTTTTTCTGGGGTTTTGAACACAAGTACATGTATACTTAACAGAGTCTATAGAATTTGAAGTATTCCTTTATGACACAGAAAATAAAAACAACAAGTAGATATATAAGTATTTACCAGAACCCAATCTAAGTAATTGACATCATAATTATTATAGCTTCTTTTGTTATGGCTTTGCATTTGTTTGCATTCAAACTTCAGGGTTCTTAGCCTTATTTTAGACACTAGGTAGACAAATTCCTTATACTTACTTTGTGGTCTGAATTGCATGTTCCAGGAATGCTGAAATGCTTTTTCTTTATGTTTTAATTTATTTTAATTGACAATGGTTGCCTAGGATTTGTTTTATTAATGAGTCTGAGAACATGTCTGGATTCAGTAAGAAAAATGATGTGACCAATTAGAGCAGCGGTTCTCAACCTGTGGGTCGCGACCCCTTTGGGGGTCAAATGACCCTTTCACAGGGGTCGCCTAAGACCATCTGAAAACACATATATAATTACATATTGTTTTTGTGATTAATCACTATGCTTTAATTATGTTCAATTTGTAACAATGAAAATACATCCTGCATATTAGATATTTAGATTACGATTCATAACAGTAGCAAAATTACAGTTATGAAGTAGCAACAAAAATAATTTTATGGTTGGGGGTCACCACAACATGAGGAACTGTATTAAAGGGTCGCAGTATTATGAAGGTTGAGAACCACTGAATTAGAGCTATGGATCATGGGCGTGGTACTGGACATGGTCACGTGTGTGCATTGTATCTGCTACTCTTACCTAATCTCTCAAAGTAATGCTTTCATGGTTATACACAGATTATAGTATACTTTCCCTAGTGATTTATATAATACGTTTTTAAAATAGTTAACTATAAAAGTTAAGTTTTTAATAAGCATATTTATAGAGCCATATTTAAGAAATGAAAATGTATAAATTGGGTTGTTTCTCCTATATGCTGGTTTTGCTTCCTAATTTTGGTTTGATTTTGGACCAAGATGTAAACAGAAATAATACACTTATACTTTTTCTCAGTTGGTATCATGTTGAAATTACTATACCCTATTTCATAATTTTAATTTCCATAATAGAAAACTTAACTTTTATCATACTTACAGTTTCAACATATTTCATTGTTTTGTCATGAAAAACAAAAACAAAAAACAATACCAAATGACGTGGAAAGATACAGAAACTAAAAGGTCAAATTTTGGGGAGTAATGCTTGGATCTGAAACATAGTAATAATCTTACCTGTTGAAAGACTTTCAAAACATAAAAAGGGCACACCAGTAAAGCTATATACAGATATTTCAGATTATGTCTAAAAAACAGAAATCTGTGTATGAATTTTCCACTGTTTTCTGAATATCATTGTGCAAATTTAAATTCTATCAGGTTGAAATATCAGCTAAATTAATGCCACCTGCATTGTCTTACCTGGATCGCAGTTCTTCTCATCCTCTCCATATTTACAGTCTTCATGACCATCACATGTCCATTTTGCTGATATGCACTGACCATTGGAACATCGGAACTGATCTCTGGAACAACTAGTTTCACAATTTCTCTGTAAAAAAACACAACACAGATGTAATTAAAACTTAATTATTAGACAAATATAACCCAAAGACAACTAAACCCTTATGCATAGAAACCTAGAAGTATAGAAATCAAGTTTGCCACATACAGGGTGGGGCAAAGCAGATTTACAGTTGTCCATACGAAAAACAATAATACAATTAGTAATAAATAATAATACAAGAATAAACTGTGTTTTGCATATTCACAAGTGTAAACCTCCTTTTGCCCCACTGTATATAAAAAGCTCAGTTGGTCACGTGTAAGCCCAGTGCTACATAACATAATTATAACAAATTTCCACTTTTCTTTGTGAGTGATAATAAAACAGAGAAATGAAAATAAAAACATAAATGCTTCGACTTCATCCTACGAATTAAATTGCTCAAAGTGGATTGTTCGGGGCTGACACAATTTTAATAACTGTAAGGGAGAATGAAGATTGTGAGGGAAAAAGGTTAAAGAATTATTTCTAAAAATTGCATCCAGTTCATTGGGAGTGGGGTGGGCAGATGGCATGTGAAACAAATAAGAAACTTAAAGCAAATCTGTTTGGCATTGGCAAATCTCTCCTCGTGTTCTTTCTTTAGCCTTCTTCCCATCTTTCCCTCTGTCCTTTTACTATTTGGCTTGCTGTTCACAATCCTGTTCTTTCTTTAGCCTTCTTCCCATCTTTCCCTCTGTACCTGTCCTTTTACTATTTGGCTTGCTGTTCACAATCCTCTCTCCCAACAATTGTTCGTAAAGTTAACTGTGAAATGAACTGTCACAATTGTCATTTCTGCTAGCTCACATATAGATTTTATTTGGAAGTCAAATAGTAGATATACCTTCGGGGATATGTCAATTCTTTATATGTGATCAATGAAAGGGATCCACTAGAAATTTACCTTCCTTCGGGGCTGCCATCCTGATTGAAATGGAATGGTACAATGACATGTCTTGCTGGGATTATGATTTTTTATAGTTAAGCAATTTATATTCTTGCCAAAATGTACTTGTCTGTTCCTTCCACAACCAGTGCAACTTTATCACAGCTTGTGAAATGGAACATCTCAATCCATTACTGTCTGCTTCTTCTTAGTTTTACCCTCATGGAGGGATGGAGAGTTTACTTTCTACATTTCTACAATTTTCTCTTTGTTGATAGTAGTTTAATAGACTGCCTGCTGTATAATTTGTTTTCCACTTCCCTTCTTTTCCCAAGTATAAAGAGTTTACTCTTTGCCAGAGTGTTTCTTAACTAAGAATACGAATCAAAATAAGATTTTCTCCCTGTATTTGATAAACTCATTGAGGGTTAGAAAGGCCAGCACCTAAACTAACAATTGCAATAAAATACTTCAATTGTCAAAATTAGTTCAATGGTTTCAAACATACATATTCTTAAGGTGTTTAAGAAAGGCTTCACAATGAAAGCTTAAACAGAAATGGAACTACCTAAGAAAAGGCTTTTAATGTGTAAGGATAATTTGAAATGCGCTATATCTGAGGAGTAAGCTATGTAACAGTGAATGGCATCAAAAGTGTTGGAGAAGTAGTCATGAGAAAGAGATTTCATATGTTTTATTCACTGCTGTACTCCTCATGCTCAGTGTTGTTCCTGGGACATAATAAGCATTCAATAGAAACTGATGAATAAATGAATGAGTGAATGAAGTAGCAAATGCAGAAAATAAGGGGCAATAGGGTGGTGAACTCCTGGGGCAGGACGAGAACCAGGTGGGGGGGGGCAATGAGAAGGAAATAAGGGGGATACTGTAGTACTCTCAACAGTAATAATATATTTTTTTAAAATTTAAAACATTCTCATGTAATTAAGCTCCACTGGGATAGGAATCATATTTGTCTAAGTACCAAGTATCTATTACCACACCATGATTATAATAACTGTTCCATATATATTTGTAGAATTAATGAAGGGTTATCTCAGCATTAAGTCAAATTTCAGTGAAATAATTCTTAATTCATTAACCAATGGCACTGGTGTATCTTTATTGACAGCACAAAAAGTGAAGTGGTAATTTTAGGCACTTTCTAGATCATCAGAAGATTTTGATCTACAATAAAGCATAGTTGGTGTGTGTGTGTTTATTTGTCAGGTATTTAATTAACATACACAGAAAGTAGAGAGACTAGAACAATGAGTCCCATGTGCCCACCATGCATGTTTAACCATTAACAATATTTTATGCTTCATACATCCTCTTCCCACTTATTTACATTCTGAATTATTTTAACATAAAAACAACAATATCAGAAAATTAACATCACAAAATTAACAAAAATTCCTTAATATAAAGTTATTCTTAATCCTTTCCTCAAATATCCTTGTTTTCTTAACTGTATAAATGATTGCTCGGTACAATAAGGATCTAAAAGAGGTCTGCACATTGAATTTGGTTTGAATTTTTTTTTAATGTGGGACTATTTCCCATTTTCCTAGTTTCTTAAATGATATTTACTACTTAAAGATCATTTGTTCTATAAAATGTCCCACATTCTACATTTGTCTGATTGAATATTAAGAATGCAGATAGCTTAACAACCTCCGAAGTGAAAAACAAGCCTTTTATTTTTTCTAAAAATTATTATGAACTTATGTATTTGTATACATTTATTGTATTTCAATCCATTGCAACCATTTTATTATTTATGATGCTCAAATTTTTTCTTTCATCACTGGAAATCTCTTCAAGTTTGCTCCTAAGTACTCTGGACACAATCCTAAGAGTCTTGTCTGGTTTGACATGATGTTAGCTGCTCATTTTGTCAATTTCCTTTCTAGGACCTGGAATTAGATGTCTACTTTAACATGAGTAAGACTTTTGAAAAAGAAATGTTGGCTTCTGTACATGTACCTTGGACATTTCCTGAATAACATGCAAGGTAAAATCATAAGCCTTAAGCAATATATCACCTCCTCTTGATGTTTCATAGATTAAACAGGGCTTGAGGAAAATATTTTTACAGAAAACAAAACAATTTCATGATATGAAGAAGTTTGTGTGAAATGTGTTTTTCCTGACTGGGGAATGTTTAATATAATCCTTGAATAAATAGATGCTAAATAAAGATGTAGCTGAGCAATGTAAGAATTTAACTCCCATGAATAGAAATAGTATTTTTCAATTTCTGGGAAACCTTCGCAACCTGGAGGTTTAGGTTTTCTGGCCTCCAGGTGAGAAGTTATAGCCATTGGTTTCCAAAATCCAGGCACCTGAATGTGATTAGAGGGATTTTTTAAGATAGTGAGATGTAATGCAGAATTGTGTAATCTTGATAAGAATGCCTGAAGACTGGGACAAAACAGTTCATGTGGGTTCTATCAATAGTAAAGACCTTTAGTTTCTCCAAAGAGGAATGATCTTAGTGGATACTGCAGGGAGTTGGACCTGAAATTCAGAAACCTCTGGAACCCCCTGGAAGATTGTCTCTGGCCACGCCCACAGCCAGCGGAGGTCCTTCAGGAGGGGGAACTACATATGCATGTCGACCAAAGCAGCTGAGCTCCAGGGAGTCATGTTCCCCAGAAGGAGCCCCAGTGGCCACTGAGGACCAGGGACCACATTTGTCCTTCATCTCTGACTGGACAAATCACACAAGTGCTGTGTTCCTGATATTAACATGCACACAAGTGCTGTGTTCCTGATATTAACATGCACAGTCATTAACAGAGAAACTCATGAGAAATGACTGTTGCTGATTTGCTCCCTGGTATTAAAAACTGAGGTCATCACGTCATTTTAGATTTGATTGAGAAAAAATATAACCACATGTCATGTATTATTTTTAAAGCATCATGGATGGAGTAATTAATAGGTGAAAAACATAGATTCATAAATAACGAATCGTGTGAAGTAGCATAAATGTTAGCACAACCTAAGTTTACATAATTACCCAGAGACATTCTAAACGTTTTCGCTTAAGCTGTGTGTACACAGGCCTTGTTATAAATGGATTGTGATTCATCAACTAAGCAAAGCTGAACCTGTGGTTTCATGAAAATTGATGACCTGCATCGACGTCTTTGAGACTATATCTATGGAGAAAGAGACTGGGGAGAAGAAACTGTTTTAAATGCATAAAATATTAGTCCTGCCTATGGATACTGCAGCAAATTTATGAACACATTCACTAACGGCAAGGGCAGCAGCTAGGGGGAATAAGGTTTCCAAACATCCTATTCCCAACCGAGCCATTCACCACTTGAGGTAAAACAGATTATAAAATTGACTGTCAACAGCAGCACGAGCACTATTCCCTGTGCTGGGCGTGTGCGGCTCTGAGCTTAGACATAGTACTTATCTCTCAGAGTGTCAGGAGCAAAGTACATTTCAGAGTGTCCTTGGATTAAACAATAATAATTATACTTGTGATTCTAAAACACTACTTTAGTTTTTGTTTGATGTTGCAAAGTTGCCTACCTCATCAGAGCCATCTGCACAGTCAAAATCCCCATCACACCAAAACCTGGAGGAAACGCAGTCCCCATTGGCACAGAGAAAATCCTTCAACGTACAGGTCTGTGGCTCTGGGGACAGAAACAGCAGCACAGGGTTATCCTATTATATGCAACTGCATTTTTAAATTTAAATAACATACAACACGAGGTTAGCGTTAATAAAAGAAAAAGTGGTTATAACTAATAAATCGTTTAGGAAAAATGTTTGATGAAGCATCTGAGGTACATAATATAATGACCTTTCCAATTTATTTCTAAAGTCATGAATAGAAAGTGGCATTCTAGAAACAAATTGAAACAAAGACAAGAGATAAATAGCCCATTGTTCCATAAACATACAGCAGCAAAGTAAAATAAAAGGCATAAAAAGCTACATATTATAATATAGCAGTAATCCCCCTGGTTGTTGGAATTCTGAGTCATTTTATGTGTTTACTTGGAGTAAGACATTCTGTGAAACTCTGTTCTCACAGGGCTATTTCCTAACTGAGGAGTCTAGCCCGTGGGTCTTTACTTTCTACTATGCATTATAATGACTTTCTAATTCTTCAATTTTGTCCCCAGATACTCCAGAGTTCATAGAACAAGAAGGGCACAGGAGGGTGTTATTGGACATGACTGGTGGATACAGGTGGAAGAGGCAGATGGAAGCTCTTTTTTTTTCTTTGAAAACTGCCTATTTGTTTATACAATTGTTTGCTTATGCCCTATGTAATTTACCTGTCATTTTGGGTAATTTTCCAGTTGTTGATTTAATGATGCTTACCATATCCCACACAGGACATAAGCCAAATAGTATGACTTGCTACCTGGCTTAAGTGGAATGTATTTCATCTGGACAGTAAAGTAGGATTGCAGAAATTTGCTCCTGCAAGTAATCTCTAGGACTGCTGGGAATCACCCCTTGTTTAGTTTTTGTTCTCTAAACCGACCTGATATCCAGCATGATGAAAGACGTTTTCTTTACTAGTTAACCGTATTTATAGCTATCTTACAAACAATAATATTCTTATTCGGGCGAAGGAGAAAGAAGTAACTGAAATTACTTTTAAGGAATATCCATATGAGGCCTAATCTCCTACATAAAGATTGTGAATAACTCAGGTTGCATTTGAATATTGCTCTCACAGCACTTGGTTTCTAGCCATAGGGTAACATCTTGAATGCCTGGAATCATGAAAGCTCCTACATTTCTACATAAAGAACACTGCTGAGATCACTGGGGGAACGGTGGCAAGTGGAATATGTATCAGAACATTTTGTTATCACTTTATTTTAAAATGTGAACTTCAGGCTATAGAATAAGACAAGCTGCTATTTTGAAGAATGGAAAAAAGCCACTAACTGGAGGATCCTCTTCATGTCTCAATACTCCTATGTGAGCATAACAATCGTAGCTTCTTTTACTTTTCGCCTTTGCCTATGTTTACATATATTATACAGTACTTGAATCTTATAAAAAACAACTGTATTAATATTAGTATTACTACTTATAACAGTAATAATTACTATCAGCTACTGTTTGCTTATTTGGTGTTAAGCACTAAGTAACATTAATGCTAAGTACTTGAATTACTTCATCAATCTTAAGTACTCTATAAGGTAGTGTTATTATTGGACCCTTTTTGGACAAGCAATCTGAGGCACAGAGAAGATAAGGAACTTACTCCAAATCACCTCGTATGCAGAAGAGCTAGTACTAAATTTGAACCTAGGTGACCTGATACCAGGGCCTATGCTTCTTTGTTAGGCCATACTATTGCCTCCCGTACTGAGGAAGTAATTGCTTGCATATTACAGAGATGAATGTTAAATCCCTGAGAATTCAAATTACTTGTCCAAGGCAAATGGCTAACAATGTCCATTTCATTTCATAAAAATCAAAGAGAACTGGCCATGTCCATTGATACTAGAGAAGGCAAAACAATCTCAGAAATAAACAGCTTTGAAAGCCATCTTGTACAAAATTGAAGTAACTACATTCAGAAAATAAAACTGATTTTTAAAGCCATATTGTTAGTGGCAGAGCAGAAAGGTTTACAGACTCCAATTTCTCCATTGTGTATCCTACATAATAAAAGCTTAATAAGCAAATCAACTGAATGGCAAAATAACCAGAGGAACGACTGGTCACTATGACACGCACTGGCCACCAGGGGGCAGATGCTCAATGCAGGAGCTGCCCCCAGCCCACAGGCCCCAGGCCAGCCAAGGCAGGTACCAGCAGAGGTGCCCCTATCGCCCCGCCATTTGCCCCGCAGAGGGTGGTGCCAGACCAGCCAAAGTGGGTGCCAGTGGGGGCCCCACAGATCGGCCCTGATCACCAGCCAGGCTTAGATACCCTCCCCATGCATGAATTTTATTCACCAGGCCTCTAGTCTATCCTATCTAATAATAGACAAACATGGTAATTAACTGTACCTCTGACACACTTCCCATTGGCTAATCAGGGCGATATGCAAATTAACTGCCAACCAAGATGGCGGCCAGCAGCCAGGCAGCTGAAGCGAACAGGAGGCTTGCTTGCTCCAGTGAAGGAGGAAG